CCCCCCCCCCGCTTGCTGCACGCGGCCCCGGCCAGCCAGTCGCCTGACCGCCTAACCCACCACTCCGAGGACGCGGATGATGGAGGGCAGCAGTGGGAGGGGAGATGAACGGCGAGGTGCCCCTCGCCTCTTGGTCCTCACTCTCCTCCTCCTTCGCCTCCACGCATCCTCTTCGCCTGGGGCACGCCACCCCAACCGAAAGCCACATCACTTTCCGTCTATCATCTTCTGCCCGCCCAGGCCTCCTGGGGTGACTGGGGGGCCTGGGGGCCCAGAGTTGCAACAAGCGCATCCCTGGTGGGCCCAAGCCCGCTGTCCCCGCCGCGCTGGCCCACCGGGCCCTCCGGGGTGGCGGCGCTCGCGGTGGGGCGGTCAAAGCTCCGAGGGGCCTGCCGACACTTTGTCATCCCATTTGACAGCCACCCGCTCGCTGCTCGCTGCTCGGAGGAGGAGGAGGGGGAGGAGGGGGAGGGGGAGGAGGAGGAGGAGGGGGAGGAGGGGGAGGAGGGGGACGGGGAGGAAGAGGAGGAGGGGGAGGAGGAGGAGGAGGAGGAGGAGGAGGAGGGGGAGGAGGAGGAGAGGAGGAGGAGGAGGGGGAGGAGGAGGAGGAGGAGGAGGAGGAGAAGCTGGGAGAGGAGCCCTCCCCGCTCGCTGCTCGCAGCCCCGGCCCCCGCCAGCCGCCTCCAGGTCCTCCCACGTGCGCGGCACGCCGACCTTCCCGCCAGGAGGCGGCGCCGCCGTCCCCGTCTCCGACGCGGGCCGCGCCTGCGTCGGGCCGCTTGAGGGACCCTCCTCACCAGCCCTGCCTCCCTCCCTCCCCCCTCGTTCTTCATCCCTCCTCCCTGCCTCCTCCTCCCTCCTCCCTCTCCTCCTCCCACTGCCTCGCCCTCCACATCCGCATCCTTCTCCCTCCCCATCCCTCTTCGGCCCGCCTCTTCCTCCTCCTGCCTCCCATCTCGTCCTCTCCTCTCCCTCCGCCTCGCCTCCCGTTCCCCCTCCCTGGGCCCCTCCCTGCTCTGTCCTTCCTGCGTGCGTCCTCCCTCCTCCTGCATCTGCCTCCCCCCTTCTGTATCTCCTCCTCGACGTCATCCTTTTACACCTGCGCGCCCTCCTCTGCCATCTGGGCGGGGCCCCGTCTACCCACTAGAAGCTTTGAAGAGTGGACGTGTTGCCTCTCCGCGTGGACGTGCCGTCGTCAGCGCTGCAGACAGTACGCGGCGGTGGTGGGACGGGGCGCACATCGTGCGCGACAGGGCGAAACATCGGTTTCGTGTCGGCGACGACCTCACCGTTCGTGAGAGCTGAGCTCCCGCTCGGGCGCGGGGCACATCCGTCGCTCACCGAGTCGTCGGAAACGGGGCCGCGCGCGCCAGCGGGCGAAATGTAGGTCTCGCCAGGGCGCTGTGCGGATTTCGTCTGAAGGTGTCCTTCCCGCACGGGCGCGGCCCATGTTTTCACTCGCCAACGTCAACGTCAGAGGAAAGAGAACTGTGCACATGCACCGATCCTGGCCAGGCCCATCCCGAGCCCATGATCGGTGCATACGCCCTCCTGCCTTGGCCAGGAAGGCACATGCACCGAGCCTGGGTCAAGCATGGGCCTTGCCAGGATCGGTGCACGTGCATAGTTCTCTTCGCCCGAAAAGTCATTGGGAACGGGGCGGCGCGGGAGCGTGCGAACTGTGGGGCGGCGCAGGGTCCGGGCAGCTTGCACGCGAACGTGGGGTTCCCGCCTGGGCGTGCCGCACAGCTTCCGCTCGCCGAGCTGGCGGGAAGCGGCAGTGGCGCTGCACGCGAGCGGGCGACATTTTGCCATCGCCAGAGCGCCGCGCTCGAGCCGCGCCAAGAGTGGCAGTGCTGCTCTGGCGCGGCGCACGTTCTGCCCTCGCCACTCTCCGTCGAAGACCTGTTGTTTTCTGGCCTCGCAGACTCGAATCCGATCCGAAGTCTGTCCGTCCTGCCTCCCACGCGCTGGGAGCGTGGACTCGGCTTTGCTGGCCCTCAGCTCCGAGGCCTGGCCCAAACGGCCTACGGAAAAACAGCGAATGATGCAAAAACTGCCCTGGCGCGGCACACGTTTTTGCCCTCGCCGCCCTCCTTCGATGGGCACCTGCCGGCGGGAGAGGCGGCGCCACGGCATGCTGCCGCAACGCAGCACGGCGCAGCGCTTTTTGTTCGGGAGGTTCCGCTCCCGCCCTGTGCCCGGCCCGTGCTCACCGCCCCTCGCAGAGGTGGCCCGATTGGAAGGGGCCCCAGGACACACAGATAAATACACACAAATGTAGCAGGAGTCCCCATATAGTTTCCCATATGTTCTGGGTTTTCGTCCTCCCCACCACTTCCCAGCTTTTCCCGCCCTTTCCTGGGGAGTCGACGATGAATTGTATCTCTGTGTGTGTCTTTCCCTCCTGCTGATTGGCGGTCGCGCGCGAGCGCCTTCCGTTCGCTATGGGCACACGCGCCAGTCCCAGTAGCAACCTGCGCAGCTGGCGCTGCTTCTGTTACGGGGAGCGTGGGGCCCACGAGGAAGTGCTAACAGTGTGTGTCCTCCTCGGGGGCCCCCTCCCGGATCGACTACGCCCTGGCCAACGCCGAGGCCCAGGCGATGGTGGCTAGGGTGGGGTTGCGCTGGGACTTCGGGCTGGCCACGCACGCCGCGCTGCTGGTGGAGCTTCGGGTCACGGCGCCAGAGCTGACACTTCTGCGGCAGCCCGTCGCGGCGTTGGATGGCTGCGCCGTGGAGGGCTGGGGCGTAGAGGCGGCGCGAGCGACCACGGCTGCCGTGCAGGCCAGCCGTGAGGCGGCGTTTCGTGACGCCATCGGCTGCCATGATCTCCCAGCCGCGTGGCAGCAGCTCAATGCGGCCATGGGGGAGTGGCCGGCGGAGCGGCGCGGGCTGCCTGCCGCTCCAGAGCGGCCGCACGCGGCGGCAGCATGGCAGGCCGACCGCCCTCCCACAGCCGGCGGCGGGGGCGAGGCGGCGGCCGCTGCGGCGGACGCGGCGCTGCTCAGGCTTCGGCGGTGACGCGGCTTCCAGCACGCTCACAAGCGATCGGGAGGAGCGGCACGGGGCGTTGCGCAAGCCACCTTGATTGCAATGCGTGCCGCGGACGCCGCCCGCCCACGATGCCTGGGCGCAGGACCTCGCGGCGGTCACCCTGGAGGGAGGGGTTCCGCATGGCCTGTTGCATCGCGCGGAGGAGGATTGGCAGCGGGCCAGCACTGCGGCCCGGGCGCGCCGTCGCGAAGGCTGGCGGCAGTGGGTCCACGACTGTCTGACGAACTGCCAGGGCTGGCTCTACCGGTGGATCCGCGGAGGCGGCACCTTGGACGCGGCGCTCGTGCCAGATCCGATGGTCGCTGCTGGCGCCGCCCGCGCCCCAGTCGGGAGCAAACCGTGGCTCCTCGCGCTCCGCGGCGGCCCTGTAGCGCAACTCCGCTTCTTCGAGGGGCCGTGGCGTGAGCTCTGGCAGCGGCAGCCTCGCGAAGCGCTCGACGAGTGTTTGCTGCAGGAGCTGGACGGCCTCCCCGCCTTCCCAGAGCGCGTTCCTTGGACCGCTGAGCTCGTGGCGGGGCTCCTGCGCCGTATGCCCAAAAGGAAAAAGCCAGGGCTCGACGGGTGGACGGTCAGCGAGCTTCGCCTCCAACCTACATGGGACAACTCTGTGGTACCATATACCTGGTGCACTGCATGGGGTGTGCAAGTTTATGTGTGGCAAGCTATGTGGTGCAACCTATGTGGTGCAATCCACGTGGTCCGATATATGGGTTGAAGACTATGCGGTGTAACTCAACGCCTGAACCCACTGTGGTTACATCTCAATAGTGCACGGCATGTGATACAATTAATACAAGTGCCAAATGTGTGGCGCAATCCATTTGCACATCCGGAAATGCCAGCCAGCGCACCGCGGGCTCACGAGGCGTTCGCGGGCGCTCATCCAGTCGAAACAGCGCAGATGCAACTCCGCAACTACACGCAACTTAAAGCAACCCTTGGTGCAAGCACTGTTTGGGGGATGTCGGCTATTTCGGCACACGCCGATGACGTGTGAAAGTGCCAACATGACATGTGCTTGCGTACCCTATATTGAAAAAACGGGGGTTACGTAACAAAAAACAATCAACCATCTACAAGATAAGTCGATGAGTAAAACCCCCAAGGGAGAGTTTTATGTGCAACCCGGACAGAGGAAACAGCTGTGCAAATCAGCTGTAAGGTTATCACCCTCCTCCTGTTCTCCTCTTGCTCCTCCTCTACTCATTTCTGTGAATGCTCGCTTCCTGCAGGGCTGGGGTGATTTGTGTTTCCTTATTTCTACGTCCTACAAGGCGGAATCGAGCCCCTCGTCCCTTGCCTGAGGATTCGCGCGGGCAAACCAAGGATGCCCAAGAACCCGAATGGATTCACAATAACACAAATAGCGGGAACGACTAGAATATCATGTGTTCTGTGAGGGGAGGGCACACCTGTGAACAACAGAAGGAAAGACACATGAGAATCGTAGAAAAGGGATGCACAATCGTACTCGTGTTCTTGCACTGTGCTGTGGGCGTCTGAGCGTGAGAGTCCGAACGCGAGTGGGACGTTCACTTTCAGCTGATTGGTTTCTGCTGCTCTCTGCCGCCATTTGCAATTTCGGGAGCGGCCAAGAGGGGGGTGTCCAAGAGGGGGGGGGTGCAAATCATGACCGGCGGCACGTGCGCGGCCCAGCGGGGGGGCCAGGAACGTCATGAAATAAGAGGAGGCGCCATGAAATCTGGGGAAATATCATGGCCCGCGCCATGATATCCCCCCCCCCCTTGTCATCGCCCCCCTCTTTTCCGCCCCCGACAATCCTGTGGTGCCCGCTCTTTTCCGCCCCCCCTCTTTTCCGCCCCCTCTTTTCCGCCCCCTCTTTTCCGCCCCCCTCTTTTCCACCCCCCCCCCAGTCATCACCCCCCTCTCTTCCGCCCATGTGGTGCCCTCTCTGCTCTTCGAGGACGCTCCGCGCTGCTCTCCTGTGGACTTGTGGGCCGGAGGGCCCGCGCGCAGACGTCCAGGAGCGCAGCCGAGCGCAGGCCCGCGACACTCCGAGGCGCGGCGCTGCCAGCGACACGGGCCAGGGAGGAGGGAGGAGGGAGAGGAGGAGGAGGAGGAGGAGGGAGAGGAGGAGGAGGAGGAGGAGGAGGAGGAGGAGGGGGAGGAGGAGGAGGAGGAGGAGGAGGAGGAGGAGGAGGAGGGAGAGGAAAAGGAGGAGGAGGAGGGAGGAGGAGGAGGAGGAGGAGGAGGAGGAGGAGGAGGAGGAGGGAGAGGAGGAGGAGATCGCCAGGAGATCGCCACTGGGGACCCGTGTCCCGTCCTTCCTCAGCCCTGGCCGCGAGGAGCACGAGCCTCGCGCCAGGACGATCCGATCGGGAGCCCAGGACGCCGAAGGAGCACGAGCCTTCGCATCCAGGGGCCACCAAACAGTGCTAGCGGCGCCCCACGGCGCCAGGACAGCCCCCACGGGACGCGCAGTAATCTTCGCACCACGCGCCGCCCCCAAGGGGCGAAGGGGTCCACAGCAGCACGACTACCCGCGGACCCCGCACCGACTGGCCGCAGGCTCATCGGTTGTACTCCCACCGCTGCACATCGGCCTCCTTGAGGTCGCAGCCGTGGTGATCAGCGAGTGCCAACCTTGCCGAGCCTGGCTTGATGAAGGAAGGCCTCGCTGACATACTTCGTCATCTGCTCCTGGGAGAGGTTGCCGCCATACTGAGCGAGGATTGCAGCCACGAGGCTCTGCGGACGACCAGGCTCTATCGCGTCCAGCTTCACGACCTGCCCCTCAGCGTCCTTCAGCACCTCCCCAGGCTTCTGGGAGTCGTTCGCCCCCGTGTAGGAACGAGTGTTCTCCAGGACCTGAACGTCTCTGTCACAATTGTTCGAGCCCTTGATCTGCGTGTCCGAGATGTCGAACGACGCGTAGTCCACTGGCGTGGAAGGTGGCATCTCGCACACAGGGACCAGCATCAGCGGGTCCGAGATGTCGAACGAGTCCAGGCCAGCAGGAACCGACCGCGTCTTGATATCCACCGAGGCCAAGGTGGGGAGGACGTCGGCGCAGGAGTCAGGCGGGAACTTCTTCTTGACCTTCTTCTTCTTTTCCTTCACAACCGAGCGGGCCTGGACGGGCGAGTGCTCCAGCTCGCCTAGCTTGACAGTGGAGGCGGAATCCACAACCTCAACATTCATGTCGAAGTTCTCCAAGCTCTGTGACACCATGTCCGACCCGCTTTCCGTTGACGCCTCGGTGACGCCACACTCCAAAATCATCTCCTCACCGTCCTGCACGAACTCCTCCTCCTTGGGCCCCATCTCCTTGAGGTCGACTCCAGACTTGTCCAGGGTGCTGATCGCCCTGATGACCCGCTCCGCGACCCCTGAGGACGGGTGTCCACAGGCGCGGCGCCCTGCACGGAAGTCGACCCACTCCTTGGCCAAAGACTTCTGGCCAGCCTGCACGAGGAGCTTCCTGACGTCCTCGCCCGTGGCCTTCCGCTCCAGGCCGAGGGACTGACCAGCTTCGTCCAGCACCCCCTCGAACGTGGCGAGGACCCCGCAGGCAGGACAGCCAGCGTCCGAAGCCGCGGGCTGGGCCGAGATGGCCTCGCGGCTCGCCGTCTCGACCGCCACTCGGAAGAGCCACTCCTTGCAGCCTCTCCGGATCTTCACCGCCTCGATCGCCTCGAGCACTGCCTGGAAAGCAAGCGCCTTGCTGCTCCCCATCCCAGCGCTCGAGGACACCGGTACCATCTCGGAAACACGAAACCTGCGAAACAGGGGCCCGCAACCTTGAGCCAAAATGGCTACGGAGGGAGAGGAGGAGGAGGAGGAGGAGGAGGAGGAGGAGGAGGAGGAGGAGGAGGACGAGGAGGAGGAGTTCTCCAACGCACGAACGAACGAAGCTGCCGTCGCCGGGAAGGGCCGGCGTCCCTGCAGGGGAGGCAGCCGCGCGCCTGTGGCGCGCTGGCCCTCTAAGAGGCTGGGAACAGTAACCAGCCTGGAACATATCCCTATCCCTATGCCGGGCATCTCCTCATCACGATGCCAATCTTAGGGATCCCCTGATTTTTTGAGGGCGGATCCCTAAGATTGTCATCGCCTTCTGGCGTGTGTCAATCTTAAGGATAGGGATACGTTCGAGGCTGGTAAGTTCTCCAACGAACGAACGAACGAAGCTGCCGTCGCCGGGAAGGGCCGGCGTCCCTGCAAGGTTGGCAGGCGCGCCTGTGGCGCGCTGGCCCTCTGAGAGGACCGGGAACAGGCTGCAACATACGCAGCACACGCAAATGGCCATGGAGTTCTCCAAATCACACGCGTCTGCTTCCTCAAACGGGAGTTCTGCCTGAGAGGTCCGACCAATCTGTAGGTGAGCGGGCCCGCGAAACAAATCCTGGTGGGCATCGCCTTGGGAGGCCCAAATGCGATGCTGGCTACATCGCGGAGGCTACGGGGCCCTGAAAGGACACGCGCTCACTTCCCCAACGGGCGTGTGAAGCACCCTTGGTCAACGCCCCCTGCCTACGTCCGATGCCTGCTGCATCGCGGTGACCATGGAGCCCTGAAGAGACACGCATCTACTTCCACAAACGGGCGTTCTTCCTGAGCGGTCCCGACATGTTAGGTGCGAGCGTGGCCGTGAAACACCCCCGGTCGGCTCCGACCTGGCCTGCCCAATTGAAATGTCTGCTACGTCGCGGTGGTCATGGGGCCCAAGTGGGCGTTCTATCCGAGAGGTCTTGGCAAACTGGATGAAGGCGGTCCCGTGAAATACCCCTGACCGACGCAGCCCCTTGGGATGCCAAATTGCGATGCCTGCTGCATCGCGGTGACCACGGGCCCCGAAAAGACACACGTGCAGTTTCTCATGCGGGCGTTCTACCTTAGAGGTCCCAACAATCTGACCGCGAGAGGGTCCGTGAATCGCCCCTGGTCGGCCCCGCATCGGGAGGCCAAGGCGCAGTGCATGCTACATCGCGGTATGAGTATGGACATGGGTAAGTCCGCATCGCGGACACACTCGGGATACCTGCGGCATCGAGGTGGGCCTGGGTCCCAATGAGTCCAAGTATGGGTGGGTAACTCTAAGTACGGCCTTGGGTCTGAGTGAGTACGAGTATGGGTGGGTCTGAAGTTGGGCGAGTCTGAGCGTGACTGAATCTGAGCGTGAGTCTGAGAGTGAGTGGGCCTGAGAGTATCGGTGAATCTGAGAATGAGTGAGCTAGAGTATGAGTGAGTCGGATTGTGTGTATGAGTCCGAGCGTGAGTAAACCTAGAGTGAGGAACGCTGAGCATGTGTAGCCGTGAACGAATCTGTGCGAGTGTGAGTGGTGATGGAATGGATCGGGCGGGCGAAGGAAGATAAGGCGGAGGCGCCCCACCAATAATGGCATGACAGCCCCATACTCAAAATCTGATAAACATGCAGGTGGGGGCACCATGTGTTCAGGAATATGGCATCTGCACGAGACCGCAGATCGTAAACACATCGGAAAGCCCTCCTGGCCCTTGCATCGCTTTGGACCATGGACCTGGCGCCACTCGGGCTGTGGGAACTCAAGGACCGTCCCTAAACGTCGCTATTCAAGAACCGTGCTCTGTCCATGCCGACAGAGTGCAGAATGAGAGGACGATTGGCAGCGCTGTGGCTTCCTCTGCATTCAAGGACATGCCTGACAGAAACAGCTCATGGCGTAGGCCAAGATATGTCTGTCCTGCGATACGCGGCATGCGACTAATTAGCTTCTCGCTTACCAGTCGGCCCCTACTCCTCTCAGTGCTACGTGAGTCCACGCATACTGCGACTAATGCTGCGTTCCGTTCATGCGCTAACTGCCCCTCCTCCTCCTCCTCCTCCTCCTCCTCATCTTCCCACATGCTGTCCTTATTCTGATCCTTTTTCCCTTTATCCACATCTCCGCACCTCCTTCTCCCATTATGATGCTCTCCCTCCGCTGTCAGACCCGTGGGCGCACCAACTTCTCAGATCGCCGAGGCTTTGGCTTCCCCTCGCCCTTGGGCTTGCCAACCGGCATCTTCACCTGCTCCTCTACGCCTGTCGCGCGTGGCTCGCAAGGACAAGGAGAAGAGCTATCGATGAATTGAAGCTGCCAGTGAAGAAATGACACCACTAGGAGGAGGCTCGCCGTCGCCTTTTGCTGGTGTTCCACCAGCTGCTGCTGCTGCTGCTGCTGCTGCTGCTGATCGCGCTGTTCCCCCCTTCTCAAGTTCATCTTCGTGTCTATTCCTACACACTGCTCACCACCTCCTGCTCCTCCTCGTCCTGTTCCTTACGGCCCCCTCATGCTGCTCCTCCCCATCGCCTGCGTCCCTTCCCCTTGTGCACAACTCCTCCTTATCGCACCTCCAGACGTGCCGGTAGGGCGGGCCAGGCGTTTCGCTTCCAGCCTCCCCACATTTGCGACGATCGTCGAGCTCGAACCTGCCGTCGACTGCACCGAAGAAGGATGGTTTCCTCTCAGACTGTGGCCCTGGCCTGAGCGCCGCGGACGTTGTCGTCCTCAGCGGCCTCCCACAACTGCAATGATGGAGGGTGGGGCCTTCTTCAAAATGCGGTTATCTCGATAATGTCGCGCACGTTCGTGTTAAAGGCCCTCAACAATTAACAAGCGGAGGCCGGGTCCTCCCAAAACATGTATGACAACGCGTAAACGTGTACAACGCGGATGGAGGGCGGCTCGGCTGAAACATGGGATCATCGAGCGGAAGTGCTTCAAGCTGCTTACCAGCAGTTAACAAGTCTAAGCAGGCGTGGGCCAAACACTGCGTCCCAGGTCCTAGCATCTTATCAGAGTGAGGGGGCCGATCGGTCATTCATTGTCCCTGGGTGCGTTGCTGAAAAGGGGGCGCACGGCAAATTTTCTGTTTGTTTCGTTGCGTCGTGCGACCCACCCGCGACCCACCCAGCGACCCGCCCGCGACCCACCCGCGACCCACCCGCAACCCACCCGCGACCCACCCACGACCCACCCGCGACCCACCCGCGACCCACCCGCGAACCATCCGCGAACCGCCCCGCGACCCACTCACAGTGCTGCAGCGAAAACCAGCGCCTGCGGCGGGCCCGTTGTACACTTTATAGCAATTGGGCGCCTGCGGCGGGTTTTTGCAAAACCTCGCAGACTGCAGACGTCCCCGCCGCCCCCATCACTCTTATGCGCGATTGCGGAGGGCCACGTATTGCGCCATATAAGTGCAGCGTATGTGGTGCAATATCGATGGTGCGCTACGTGGTTGAAAACATGCGGTGCGATGTATGTGGTGTCAGGTTTGAGTTTTGCGCCGACACGTCGGTGGTGCAATATGGTCATTGCAAACGATGTGGTGAAACCGATGTGGTGCGAGCTACGTGGTGCAACGCATGCTGCGCAACCCGTGTGGTGCAGTCAGGGTAAGTGGTGCAAATCATTTCTGTTCGCCGTGGGTTGTCCACTCCACTGCTTGCGCAATCATCCCACCCACCTACCCAGAATTCGGTTTGCAGACCCCCTGCGCCTGCGATCGGGATGAGTACTCGGAGTTGGCCAGTGCATCTCTGAGGCTGCGCTGGCCCCCGCACGCTCGCGCGCGCAGCGGCACGACGGTTTGGCGCGACCGACGCGGCCGCGGTGGCGCTGACCGCTGGGGATTTCCCAGCGGGCACTTCAGTGCGAGTCGGCGACTTGGGCGGGCGCGGTATCATGACAACGTCGACAAAGGTAGACACGATGATGGTGGTAGCGAGGCTGGTGACGATGATGACAACGACGTCGGCAAGGCATATGACGGCACCGATGCGGATCGCGCCGGCGACGATGACGGCGCCCTCCCGTTGGTAATGAAGGTTTTGGAAAGAGTTCGACATGCGCGCGCGGCCGACGCGCTAGTGGCCCGCATGCTATCATTTGAAGCGGATCGTTCCCTTCCCAGCGCGCGCCGAAGGGCGCGCGAATGCTTTCGGCATGCTGCGCGAGAGGCCCGTGTGTTAGAATCCCATGGAAATGTGAAAAAAACACGATGGTTTTCTTGAGAATTCGGAAGAGCGCGAGCGCCGACTTTTTTGAGAACTGATGTTGCGATACCATGTTTATATATATATATATATATATATATATATATATATATATATTATGTTTTGGGGCACTCGCTTTTGGCGAAATTCAGCATGCGCGCGCGCCGACGCGCGCGCGCACTTCGCCCTGCTTTTGTTTGCAGAGGGTGTTCGCGACAGCAAGCGCGCAAGGGCTTTCGAAAGATTTCGAAGTGCGCGCGCGAAGCCCTTCTGAAATCTTTTTAATTGTTTATATGAACACCAATGTTTTTCCAAAGAATTCGCAAGCACTGGCGCCCGAGCTTTTTTTGGAAACCCCCGTTGCGCAACCCTTTTGTTTCTACATGTCTTTTGAACGCTCGATTTTTGAATCCTTACGGCACCGAAGGTTTTCGAAGGGTTCCGTCATGCGCGCGCCACGACGCGCGCGCGCAATTAGTCATATGTTTTGTAAGGGGTTCTTGAAAACTGATGATTCGTGATAAACGAGTGCGCGCGCATCGCATTTTTGGCAAAGGATGGCGGGGGGGGGGGGCATGGGCTCGGCTGGGGCGGCATGAACTCACGGGGGAAATAAGCAAGGACGCGGCATTATACATGTAAATGACAACGCGCGAGGCCGAGTTGATAATCCAGGGGGGGGGGTAGAGTTGACCCTGTCAAACTTGAAAGAACCGCCGTCGCTGTTCGCGCAAGCGCACCGCCCAGTCACTCGTAGTGTGGATTGGAAAACCCAC